AGGATAGGTAGTGTGTGTAAAAAAATGTAGAATGAAAAAGAAGTAATTAAAATAAGTGATTCAAAAGAATGAAATAAGTAATAAGTAATCACAATAAGTGATTAAAAAGAACGAAAGTTAAATTTATAAGTGTTAAAATTAAAAAGAACGAAAGTTAAATTTATAAGTTTTAAAATATTTTAAAATATGTCGCGCGGATTTTAGGTAAACTTTACTATCAAAACTCGAAGTTTTAATACTGATTTTGTTAGTATACGAAACGGAATTTGCGGTTTTAATTATAATAGTAATATTTGCGTATTTTTTACGCAAAAACAGTCTCGCAACTTTTGCGAGAGTCACTCCGCTTAGCAATGCGAAGTATCTTGCTCCGTTACTTTAACGAAGCATCGGTTTGCAATTTCTTTGCGAAATTTGTTTATCGAAAACGGAACGGATCGAAAAAGCAAAGTCAAAAACATATTTAAAAATTCGATATCTAAATTAAAGTGAAGTAAAACGCGTAATTAAAACTTTTACGTAAAACTTTTCGTACGCGTACTTTATTTTCTCTTACGGGATGGATTCTAATAATGATACTTAATCGCGTATGTTCAAAAAATCAAAAGTAGAAATTGCAGTAGTAGTAAGACGCTAATTGTAAGTCGTTAAAATTAAAGAATTATCTGCTAATTATATTCTTTCTCGATATACTTTTCCGCGATAGAATGTCTCTAAAATTTCTAACTTTATCGTACAATTCTCGCGAAAAATGTATTCTTTAATCAATATTAATAGACAATTAACAAAAAGTGAAAAAGTGGCAAAAGTTTTGAATAAAACAATTCGCGAAATCTAAAACCGCGTACACGACCGCGATCGCGTGATTTCCTCGCAATTTGCAAGGTCCAGGGCGTCGATTTCGACGCAAGGCGAACTAAACGTTCGCAATTTGTTGAAAATGAGAAGTCATCGAGAAAAAACCGGTTCAAAAATATTACATTAAAAAATAATCATTACATGTAGGAATCTGAATTAGTTTAAAAAGAGTAATCAATATATTTCTTTATTATACTCTAATTTCTAGTAAATTTCGAGTAAATTTGATTTCAATCTATAATCACAACCCGAAAACTATATTTTTATCTTTAAAATAATTATTTTTTCTCGACGCTTCAAGATAAATAAGATAAGTAAAGACTATGTCGCACTGATTTTAAAAAACCCCATCACCTACCCTAAAAGTCTACTCACGTGCGCTGGCCACTTACTGCAACGAAACCACTCTGTAACAAAATAGAAGTCTATCATTAGATTAAGAACTTTGAAGAAAATTGGGTGTACTTTAATACTTTTATATGCAAGATATATAATATTAAAAACAGAAATATACCTTCGTGCCAGCAGTTTATTGCCCGAACCGGCTCCTCCGGTACTGCAAATACTGCCATCAGGAACACCGCCATCAGCGTCACCAAAAGTCCAAAAGGAATATATAATGTCCAGATTGTATCTTCTTTAGCACTTTCACACGCGCACACACGCGCGATTAAGTGAATTTCTTTCATATTTTCTTTAAAAGTTGCTTTTGATAACATTAGACGTTAATTCACGATTAAAAATTTCACGTATATCAAACTATTACCTTGCTGTTTCGAGATTTGTTTTTTTGTAAAATAAAGTATTTTAAATATATAAAGCAATGTATTACGATTACACGTAACTCACATTTTTTTGTTATATGTATGTTATAGACATGATATGTGGAAATGTACTTTTTATTTGAATTTTACAGAGAATTTTACAACAACCAGACTCTTT